CAAGGCGGGAGACAGTTGAAGGGTTCTACAAGTTTCCTTTATCAGGTATGTAAGGCCACTTTATAAAATAAAACTGTCCACTGCCGTGCTTGAGATTCAGCTACTTGTTTGCCAAACTAAGATGTCTTAGTTGGTCATATGCGTTGGTCAACTTTCTTGGTCATATGCGTATTATCTAAAACTAAATTATCCATTCAGAATTAGCATGAGTTGAAAGCATGGACTTAAGTGGATTGAGACTTAAAAAAAAAAAAAAAAAACCAAAAAAGTTAACTAATTGGCCTTCAAACAATAGTGGAGTATTCTCCAAGCAACCTGAATTGTCAATCAGAAACAAATCTGACGCAGAAAAAAATCTTCTCCAACTAAAAGGTGATAAATTCAATATTAAAAATGGTCACTTCCAAAAAGCCTAATTCAAGTCAGGACTCCATTGGACTAGTGACATATACAATATGAAATGACTGTCAGTCCTAATCAGTTCACATGTACCTTTATCTACCATTGCCACTTCAGTATGTATACTTCAACTTAATATGTAACATGAATACTAGAAACTCCTTTGAAAGAATGAAATACTTTTCCTCTTCTTCACTCTCATTAATGCACAACACATGTAGAATAGTTAGGACAAATAAATGTGCTATTACTTACCTGTGATATCTGCACTCAAATCTCAGCCTTCTCATTAACACCCCCCCCAAAAAATAAACAACAACAAAAACACCCTAGCTTTCTAATGGCAAAAATGGGCTTACAAACTTGAATCAACCGTTATTTCTGCCTGAATCTAGAAACATCTTGAAAGAACAGATCTGATGGCAATGAGAGCTGACCCAATTTGAATTCATACTAACACAAACTCCGCAATAGTCAACATTGTAGACATTTATACCATTTCATTCCTATCTAAATCATACAAGAGATCTGACGTTCACCTGTTATCACTGAAGGCAAAGTATGAAACAAATACCTGATAAGAAAGATGATAGTAATGATAGTGATGGTTGGTGATAAGATGAATCCATGCAAATAGTGAAATTGGGGGAGATCAGTTTATGCACAGAATTTGCTACTTCTTTTCAAAATAGGGACTTCCCCTTTCATCTTTCACAGAACCTGCAGCCTCAAAATCAATGCCATGCAGAAAATAAAAGTCCACATTAAATTTAGTCTGTCCAGATTTCCATACTTTAATATCTTAGGACTGCCTGTATTTCCATCAGTGTACTATGTAACTGCTTCTCACATTAGAATACTGAAGTCTTAGAATTCTTCAGTCTTTTTCACTTCCCTAGTATAAGCAGCTTAGTTTACTCCCCAATTAACTTGATCTTTTTAGAAAAGCTCTTATAGGAGAGGGTTTTACAACATTAAAGTGGTTAGTTTTTGAGGCTAAATACAGACAGTCAAAAAGGCAGAGGATGAATCAATTCAATTGTCGCAGGCTAATCTAAGCTGCGTAGATTGAACAGATAAGCAAGTGAACAGACATTCACTTTCAATTCCAGAAACGCAGCCACACGGCTGCAGTGGCCCAGACCAAAAGCCAGAGGGGACTAGAGTACTCCTCCCTGCTCAGCTGGAACAGATAGCTTGGGCCAAAGCCAGCCCACCCACCCAGCAAAGAGGGGGTTTGCAGGGGAGATGCAAAGGAATCTAGGATGCTGGGGCACTCTGAGTTACCTTGAATCTGGAGGGGAACTGAAACAGAAATTCAATAAACCGATTTAACCTAAATCAGTTAAGTCTGATACTGCATCCATCCAGGTGCATCTTAAACTGCTTTCAGCCATTTTGAAAGTGGTTTATGTGCACTGAACTTCTGTTGTGTTACAGATTTGAACTGGTTTCCAATCGCTTATACCTGTTTATATGTAACTTCTGTCCCTAGCCTGAAAATTTGTTCATAGTTACAGCATCTTGGTACCGAACAGCTTGTTGCCCTCTTCCGCATGCTTTATTCTAGGCTTTGTCAACTGTATTATTTAAAAGAAATTCAACTGTTCTAAAGCATCATGTATGGAAAACTGATCACTTACACAGCTGAGTCCTAAATCCCTTGAAGGTAAGGATAAATGCACTGAACTAGCTAAGGCCTGGGCCAAAGCTGTTTTATATTATGGCACATAGAAAACAAAAGTAGATGAGAAAAGACTGATTTTACCTAGTAAGAAAAGAGGAAGATCCTCAAGCTGGTGTTATGTCATGTCATAGCCGCATTGAATTCAATGGAACTATGCCAATAAACCAGTTCAGCATGTGCCCCACCCACCATCTACAATACTACAGAGGCTGGACTTTCAGTGCAAGGCTCTGATAACTGCTCCATTTTATCTGCAGGTTCTAAAGAAATGCCTGGCTGAGAACATGAATTTCTAAAACTTCAAGGTTCCCCAGTTAAGACTATGATAATGAAAAAACGTTATTTAATCCTCTGATTTTTCCTTCATATTAAAAATATGTAGGCATATTAGAAATTTAACTTTTATCTAAATCGGGGGTTGGCAACCTATGGTCCACAGACCAGATCTGGCCCAGAGAACCATTCAATTTAACCTATGGACTTCAAAGACATTTAGTGGCAGGGGGCCTCTGGCAGCAGTAGCTTTCCCCTGCCACCAAAGATAAAAGGAAATGCTGGCTCCAGGAGCTTTTTCCTGTGGCACCACTGGGAATAGTAGCAGTGGAGGCTGGATCCTAGCACCTGCTTGCCCATCTCTGACCCAAACTAGTTCAATCTGACCCACAGCTTTAAAAGGTTGTCAACTGCTGACCTAAATATTACTTAGTTAACAAACCAACCTACTTATACAGCAAACATCAAACAATGCTGTCAGTAGACTAGTCCACTAATGATTGAGGTCACTAAGAATCACTTCCAGACTGGCTCCTCTTCTAGGAAGAGAAACTTTTTACTCCTCCATAGACTATAACTACCCTTATCCCTCTCCCACTGCTTTAAGTTCTCAGGTAAGCGTAAAATAGCATTAAAACATTCCCAGGGGAAAGAGCCACTTGAGTGACAGAAGTGCTGACAAATTGTCCTCTTCTGCATAAGTAGTTATGGACTTCATTTTTTGTTTCACAACTAAATGCAGTGAATCCATGTATGTACCTTACAGGAACTCAGCAAGTTGAAGGGAATTTACAGCTACGTAGTATTTTTTATAATTAAGAACAGGGCCAACCAAAAATATAGTTAAGGCCCTAACCAGAAACACATATCTTAGTCTAATTTACAGTGTATTTTATACACATAAAAGTTGCATTTAGATCAGGAGCAGACAGATGTATATCCTGAAATAGTAAGTAGCTATTACTGTGCCTCAGTACTAGGTAGAGGAACAAGTAACAGCCTATTTGCCTACAGCAAACAACTACTCTGGGATGGACACAGACACCTGAAACCTAAACTAACATAACTTAGAATAGTAGTTTCACCTTGAATTCTTTCAGGGATAATTTTCCATTGAATTGGGCAAAGTTACTCCAGCTTAGGGTTTTGCTTCTACTGTCAACTACTGTTTTTACCATTACATCTATTGATGGCTTAAGCTCTCTCAAATCACTCTTCTCTTACCTTCATCTCTTCTCATTTTCATTCTATTAAGTTTCTTCTGCTGCTCTCTTAGCAATGCCTGCTGTTGAATCTCTAGAGTTTGATCATCTCTTGGAGGATCAGGGTACATATATCTCAAGTCTGCTCGTGTTTCTGAATCTGTCACATAGATACAATTTTTAAATTTCCACTAAAAACACTATTTCAGAAACTAATTTTAAGTGTGACCTACATGCATTTGAAAGAGTTAGTGCCACCGATAAAAATAGCCAAAAACCTGATCGAGAGCCTGTAAGTCTGAAAAGACTTCACAAAAAAAAATAGCGAATATGCAGCATGGTAAAGCATAGCAAAAACAGCAAGTAACTTTAAGGAACTAAATGCTGCCAAAGGGAAAAAAAAAAAAAGCTGAGAAGATATAACAAAATATCTGGATTTTCTCATTGTGGTTAAATTATCACAAAATAACTGAGTCTTCTAACAATTATGATTAAACTATCCACTTGCCTCTGTACTTAAGATCATTAAACTCCCAGATGTTCTGTATATTTACAGCATCAGCTGCTTCCTTTGATGAAGGTCGCCTCACTGGAGCTTGCATCCGAAGTCTGGCCATATCAAATACATCCATTGGATTTCTCTCCCTCTTCCTGCTTGAAAAGTTTGTAAGTCAAACAGAGCATGACAAAGTTTTAACATTCATGGCTTATTTAAACAAATATCAGTTTTGGTAATACTGAAAACTTTTACCTTCATATTGCATCTTCCACACAAAGGATAACCACTGTGCAAAATTTGAATTTAATTTTGAAAATAAGATTTCTTTTTGTGATATCAAAATCTAGTACAATCTTGAAAATTCAAACAGATGCCACAGAGATGTGCTTTATGATCTAACACGATCTTTATTTAATTCTAATCCCTAGTATAGTAAAAACTGTTGAACTTTGCAGAAAAGCAAAATGATAAAAGCAGGGTTCCTGTGGAATTTTTTTTTAATAAGTAAAGTTCTAGTAATATGCAAATTAGGTTATAGAAACAAAAAAGCAAACTTTAAATTAGCAAGATTCTACTTGAAAACAAATTTTAACACTAGGAAACATTAAAATAAAAACCTATTTGATGGGTCAGTTATGTGCAATACAAAAGAAGTAATTCTTGGTGTCCCTATTAATTCAGATAAACAACTAGCATCAGCTATATACAGTAGGAGATATATACTAATAACACCCAAGCCTTTCCAAATCATTGCTACATATGGAGTCCTCCATTGCTACTCATGGAGGCCCATCTTATGTATATGGCCTACTGAAAACACTGCATTTCAGTAGCAGATCAGAAGAGATTTATACTTGCAGCTACTTGCATACAACCCATGACACTTTCTACTGTCACAGACCAGGGAAACATCATGCCAAATGTCCAAAATAGTACACTTTGCTAAAATTCCATTTTACCAACTGTCGAAATCAGCAAAACTGAATACAAGCATATGAAGAAAAATTTTAATAATATTTGTAAGTTTTATTATATTTCAAATTAGAGAACAGATTAAATAATAGATTTGGTAGAGTGCCAGACTTACCTTTGAAACTAAACAAAACAATCTAAAATTATACTGCAAGAACTGGGACATTTTATTTGATATGAGTTTTTAATTATTTTTTTATAGGTATGTTTTTGTTCTGACACATTCTGGAAGACTATGGCAGACCATGTGAGAACTAGCCTCAAAAATGTAGGGTAATCTCTCACCTTGTAGTTATGTCGTCTTCACTGGCCACATTTAGCAATTGCTCCTGCAGTCGCCGCTCTTCACTACGAAGCTGCTTTCTCATTTCTGTCAGCTCATTTATCACATTTTTTCTTTCCTCTATAATTTAAACATCAATAATTTAAAAATAAAAGGTGTGAAAGGAACAAAGCATTTATTTGGCCTGCTTTAGAAATCTAAGGTGTGAAAATGTTGATTAGTTATTAAACATGTTAAAGAACAAGCTTTTCATGCATTTCAAATTAAATTAAATTAATTTAAGTCAAGATACCACTAAGGAGGAAGAAGCATCCAAAGTTATCGTTTAGAAGTATTTCACCTTGAAAAGGTTGGGGGGTGGAAATTGTTTGATCACACCTACAAACAAGTGACCTCAAGCATCCTGGCTAGCTTTAGATGACAGAAGTGGAAGCTACTACTTCCTTGATTATAATATGTCTGTCAACCTGCATAAGGAGTCTGATTAGTAGAAGAAAGGGATGGTTTTTGAGCCAGAAGGTAAAAGTGCCAAAAATTGCATTTACACAGCTACACAAGTGGCATTTAAACATAGAATGATGAAAAAGGATTTGGGCCTAGTCTTGGAGGTTATCTAGAAATCTCAAATTCAAGTGCTAGCATATATGTATCCTTATTTCCCACAAGAGCAGGGACTGAAAGCTTTGGTGTGAAAAGTATTTAGTGAAGAAGAGGGCTCAGTTAAGATTTGCACTGCTTTCCATCTGGTGTTTATCTTAAGGCCAAGTTCCTTTACAACTGAGTAAGTCACAGACTCCTAAAATGTTACCCCTTCTATTTCAGTGCTAAGAATTGCAGGCCACTATTTAAAAGAACACAAAACACACAGCATATGGTTTTGGCTACCTGATCTTTCTGTGATCAGGACAGATTTTTAACAAGCTGTAAGGCTCTAAATAGACTCTGCATTTGTCCCATGAGAAAGTCCCAGCATCCTAGAGATGTACAAGCATACTTCTGCCGGAGTATGTAGGATAAAACATTCTAAAGCTTTTTAGGTGATTCCAGGGACAAGTCTGCTAGGCTGTGTTATCTCCCTTGCCACCAACAAGGAGCAAAGCAGAAATATAAGTTGGAAAGGTGAGGCATATAAATGAATGAGCTGCACTTGTTTGGAACCATGTCAGGCTTGTTAAACGGGTGACAGTATTTGGATCTTAGGGAGCATTGGATTTGCAGCTGAATAAAAGGCTATAACCTATGGCCTAGCAAAGCTGCTAGCCACAAGCCAGAATGGTATGTTAAAAGTAACACTGCAAGATGCATAGGCAAGCATTTTCCTAACAATGTAGTAGTGTTGTAAGATATATAGCTCATTGTGTAAGGAAAACAGGATGCACACGACCAGCTATCATTAGGAGATAAAGCAGAAGCAAGACCTTGGAGACAGTGAAGAAATCAGCAAGAAACTGCAAATGACTGAAAGAAGCTGGAGTCAGGGTCTTAAGCATCCGCACATAGCAAAAAGATATGTAAATAAGTGAAATGCATAGGGAATTCCATGCTAATGAAGTAGACAGAGGCAGAGCTTGAGATGGGAGGGAATATGGGTGGAACAAAGGAGGGACAAAGGTGGAAGAAATGTTAATGAGCATAAACCAAGGTGTATAAATATGGAAAGAATTAATTTTTGCTGCAGCTCCCCAGTTTGTTGGAGTTTTGCCCAAAGCTGTCTCCATTTTGAATAAAGCTGTTGACGAGCAACGTGTGCAAGTGATGTGTGATGACATCGATCCATTGTCTCTCTAGTTGTTGGGTGTCACATGGAGTCGAGGTCTAACAAGTCTCATCTCAAATGAGATGACTATTTACAGCCTAAAAGAAAATACTCTTTAAAAAAAAAAAAAAAAAAGCAACAGGATACTTGCAACACAATTAGCAACAGATCTTACAACACAATCAAAAAATAAGAGGGTTGGAAGGGATCTCGAGCTTCATCTAACCCATTCCTAGGCAAAGATGCAGGATTTACTATTATTCCTAAGCTATAAGCCCATCCATTTTATGTATACTTGATTTGTTAAAAGACAACTAATACAGAAAAATGATTAAACAAGGGTAGAGAGAACAATAAAGCCAAGTTGCTTTAGGCCAGATAAGCTAGATTCTCTTCTGGCAGATACCCATGTAGTAATAACTAGTGCAAAGTTATTACAAAACAGTATCAAACATAAAAATATCTATTTGCATCCACTAGGTGCTAATGCAAATGGTTACAAATTGAATGACAAAGAGGATTATTCTGGTGAGTCCAAAATCCACAGATGTCAGAAAAGGATAAAGTAAATAAAACAAAGAGGGATAGCAGTAAGGAGACCCAGACATTTTAGGAATGAAAAATGTATTAAACCTGTCCATTCTATAGCAAAGTAATGGCATAAGGCTGCTCCCTTTTCTAAATTTTGTTATGCTTTGCTTGCCGTTTCAGCTGTCCCAACTCATTAGGATTCTAACATTTTGTTTTCACAGGCCACCTTATCTTCTACACCCTATCTTCTACTTCAGTGGTGCCCCCACCTTCTAACCCCATGCACCAGCCAGACCTTGAGTGCCAGCTCAATCTAGCATGTTGGCAACATTATCCAGCCTGTAGGGCTCCCGTTGTGTCTGGAAATTTGGCAGCGGGGCAATGGCAATTAAACGCTGCCAGCACTCCCTGCCCTCAAAGTTCGAAACGCATGGGAGCCCCACAGGCAGGACGACATTGCTCCGTAGACTGGATCTGACCTGAAGGCTAGAGGTTGAGCACCCATGGTATAACATATAACATTAGCAGAATGATGCCTAAAAAGCTGTCTAAATATATTTAATCTCAGTATTCCTAGTTATGTCCATATGTACTACGCTAACAGGAATATCAACATACTACCACACTGTAATCAAGTACGTTTTTCGTATTAGTGTTCTGTTGGAAGTAAAAAGGTCTTACACAGTAAACTTCTTGAAACAAAACATGTTTTTTGAGTACACCTCCCTGTATCTAAGAAAAAATATCAATAATTTTTCCACTAAAGGATATTTCTGGTTATTAGGAAAAATTCAAATAAGTTTTTAAAATATTTTTAGCATCTGAAAAAACATCTAGAGATTTTTCTCCCAAAAGGAATTATAGTCAATAACTGAAGGAAAGATAATATAGAAATGGAAAACTAACATGTACTGTTCTCAGTGGTGACTTCCTGAGACTAGATGACTTCCTAAGATAATTTCCAACTCTAATTTTCTATGGTTCTATGACGTGGACATTAGTTATACTAGCTTAGACTAAAACAGAATACCTACCATAGGCACGCAACTGGTTTCTTCTAGCAGGAACAGGAGGAGAAAGAACTCTGGGCTGTGGAAGATCCTAGGGAATAACACAAACATAACCTTTTATACTCTAAAACTAAGTTTCAGACGGTTGAGAAATTAAAGTACACTGATGTCTGATTCATGCTAAAACTTATGGTAGGATGGAAGGAGAGACAAAAAAAGAATCATAGCTCTAGTTCTTTGGATGCCAAGGAGGGTAATGAACAAGGGTCTGTATATAGATCACTTTAGATATACCCAGTTCAATGCTCTCCTCCTAAAGCATCCACTCCTACAAATGTCAATGGGATACTGGGCTAGATGGAACACTGATCTGGCCCAGCATGACAATTCTTTTCTTTTCTGGTGTATTAGTTTTAAATGGTTTCTAGATGTAGTGAATGATTGTTAAAAATTACCTCAAAATTACAAAAAAAAAGTATTAAAAAATTACAAATATAGGACTGGCTAAGGTAAAAAGAAGCATAAAAACGTCTTGCACTATTCTGTCAAAGCATTAAGGTAACTGAGTATTCTCTCACACTGCTGCTTCTTTAATAATTACTACATTTAGACTATAAAATAAACATACTTGTGTATAATAAGATGTATGACTGTCAACAGAAGTAGGTCTCTCTTCTTTTGATAAAGATTTATGCTGAAGAGCAGGAATTACAGGAGAAGGTTGCCTTGAAAGCTGAAAAACAGGAAAATATGCACAACTGAAACAATGTTATGTTTACCAACCTACTTTTAATGCTTGCTGACCTATTTTAAAATAGGGGGAGTGCTAGCTAAAATGCTTGTTAAAAAGGTTGTCAGTGTGGCACAGAGACAAATTCATGGCAGAGTAAATTACCCCACATTGTTTTGGCTAAACTGATCTGGAAGTTCAGGTATCTCTATATTACACAGTAAGCTACAGTGTGCACAGTATCTTTACATGTGACCATCGAGAACAGCCTATGGAGGGAGAATGGAAACATGAGATTCCCTGGGGATGGGGGGCACAGGGCAAGACGGTGGTGGCAGCAGCAGCAGCCGCCACCACCACAGTATTTTCCAGACAGCTGTAGTGTGCATTTACTAGCACAACTAAATTGCCTCTAATTATTAGCACTGGATCAGCAGCAATGTTCCCTCTAAGGAGTAGCAGTCTGTGAGCATGCCACCTCAGCCCATGAGCGTGCCACCTCAGTCCGGTGTGGGACACTTACTGAAGAAGGCTGAGGGCTGGGGGCCAGAGGCTGGGGCTGAGGGCCGGAGGCCAGGGGCTGGGCCTGGCGCAGGTACTGCTAGCTCTGGGGAAACCACTCTGTTCCACTGCTTCACCTCGGGGAGCAAGGAGGCATGTGGCATCAGGGCCAGGGAGTGGAGCACTTTTCCGGAGCTGGCGGAGCCTGCGGAGCAGTTCCCCAGAGCCAGCAAAGCCCGTACCAGCCCCAGCCCCAGCCCCCGTCCCTACCTTGCCTCACATGGGGAAGGAGCTGCTGCCCGCCCCGAGTGAGGCTCCACGGCTCCAGGGAACTGCTCCACTCCCCAGCCCTGACACTGCGTGCCTCCTCACTCCCCGAGGCAACGTGGGGGAGCAGAGCAGTTCCCTGGAGCCGGTGAAGCCCACACCAGGCTCCCATCCCCGCCTCTCCTCAGAGCTTACCTTAAGCTCCTGTCCCTGTGCCAACTTATAGTCGTGCACAACCACGCACGCGCACACCTTAGAGGGAACCTTGATCAGCAGTACCTACAATGGGATATTATTGAAGGCAGGGCCCTGGGCAGCATTCTAAGTAACCAAGTGAGGTAAAAAGGTCTTAAATTGTGGAAGTTCCTAAGGTATACCACCTTCTTTTCGTCTTCTATCTTTGCAGTCTTCTCTCGTTCATAATATTGTCTAATTTGTTCATCCTGTTTCTCTTCGTCCTCTCTTTTCTTCTTTTCTGCCTCTTTCCGCCTTTCTTCAGCTAATCGTATCATCTCTTCATTTTTTAATCTTTGCTGCATAAAAGTAAATCATAGGTATTTTTTTAAGTTTTTGTTTGAGAATTTAAAATTGTGTCTCAGTGGTTAGCATGGAAAAAGTTACAGATCTAATGAACTCCATTTCTAGATGACAGCATTTGCTGTTCAAACCTTAAACATCTGAAAGTATGGTTCCAATGAAAGTAGTAACAAGACTCACACTGACACTTAGTGGGTAACATTTACACATTCAGTTAACGTGATGCAATAAACTCCAGAGCTGTTTGACCTGGAGTCAACAGCTCCCAGGTGCAGCATCTACACATGCACTAGGGACAACAGCAATTTAAGCCAGGGCAGAGCAGCCGCCGGCTGGCAGTAGACTCAGGGGATCAGCCCCAGGCTCTAGGTGGTGGCGCTGGGTGCAGAGGGGCTGACTGGGGCACAAGGGTGCAGAACCTACAGAGCCGTGTGGGTAGGTGGCAGGAGCCCCCACACTTCAGCACTCTCGTGTCCCAGTCAACCTGTCCCCATCTACACGTGCGTTTCATTGCACTTAATTACTCCACCATAAGATAGTACTGCCCTCAACAGTACTATCTTATGGCAGAGTTAATTAATTTACTGAGCCCTAATACCAGTGCACATGTACTTAGTCAACCCTGCAGAAAGGTACACATGTAGATGGACCCAGTAAATCTTAGATGGTCATGTTCTTTTAAGAATAAGGAAAGCAGAAGGGTTTTTTCTGTTTGTTTGGGTTTTGTTGGGGGGGAGGGGGGTTGTTGATTAAAATCGGGAAGATCATCTACTTATTAGTTGTCCTACACCATTTTACTAACACAACATGTACTGAAAAAAATCAGTTTACAAAGAGTCTCTAACCCCTCTTCCAATGGAAAAATGTAAATGCTACAACTAAGGTGGCAGGGGTAAGGAAAGAAATTAAGCCATCAAAAAGACTTACCTCCTCCTCTTTCTTTCTTTTCTTTTCCTGCTCCTCTTCATATTCTTTCTGAATTCTCATCCTTTGTTCAGCTAGCCGTTTTTCTTCTTTTTCTTCTTCAATTCTAAGTTTTTCTCGCTCTGCTTCTTCCCTGAGTCTCTTTTCCTCAATCTAAACAAAGGTAAATGGTTGTCTGTGGATAACTGGTAATGATCTGATAAGCATGTACGCAAGTGGTATTCTGTAGATTCTCAGATTGTCGAATCACGGAGCATTCAAGCATTCAAGGAATTAAAAAGGAATTCCAAGACCAGTTTATCATCTTCTGGTTCCAAAGCTCATTTAAATTAACTGGTATATAAATACTTCTACTTTAGCACCTTTCTCTGAACAGTGCACCAACACATGCATATGCCCCGCTTGCTTTTAAGCACTAATATCTTTTCCTTCATAACTGCTGGAACAGTTCTTTACACAGAAAACACCAAGGAAAAAGTTTTTGCAACTTCATGGGTTTTTTCCTTTCCTCAGTCACAAAATGCAGAGAGAATAGCATTGGTTCATTTAGGCCAGAAGTATGACCATTTGAAAAAAATATATATAACAAAGCTTTGTTTTAGCAATATTTTGAAAAGAAGCCTCCCAAATAGCTTAATGTTTACATCTTTTCTTTTACAGACAGCCATGTGTAACTGGTGCTGTTTCAAGACTGCATAAGCAAGGTAAATTTATATTATAAAATACAATATACAAAGACTCCAGATTTCCTTCATTTAACTCCTGTGGCAGTAGCTATATTACAAAGCAAAAGAAAAAACTTGCTACTAAAACTATCAAATTGTATGTACGTATAATTGCATAACTACACTTAAGCCCCTAGCAGATGGTACACTGACCATGAGATTACGTTCACTGCAAAAAAATTTTAACATGACACTGTCATGAATCCCATTGTATTTTGGGGGTCAGCAGCACGTTGTTAATGTTTTCCTCTGTTTTATGGTACTGTTATGACACTGGAGGTCTCATTAGAAAGCCCAAGTTATGCTGCATCCATCTGTGTTACCGTTATCATGGTATAAATTATATTAAGCTGTCTATATATCTCTTTATAATTTTACACATGGTTCAGCCAAGGGACTAAGATGGGGTGAGCAAAGTCCAACCCATGGGCCAAATCAGGCCCACAGCAAACTCCATTTCCTCCAGGACCCTGTCCCCATTGCTGCAGCCAGTTTCCGTGGAGGCCCCAGGAGCAGCAGGGCTGTGACAGCACAGGGCCAGGGCTTCCATGGAGACCAGCCACAGCAGCACTGGCAAGACATACGGCTAGACAGGAAGGTGCTCTGGGGCCAGGATCTTGAGGTGGTCACAGCATGGTCTGGAGCTGGGGCAGAGCCATGATCTGCCCAGGGCATGCAGGCAGCAGATGGTGCCTCTGCCCTGCTCCAGACCATGTTGTCACCATCATAAGATCCCAGCCCCAGAGCAGCTCCTTGCCCAGAGCCAGTCTCCATGGAAACCCTACGCTGTCACAGCTCCACCACTCTTGGGGTCTCTATGGAAACCGACTGCAGCAACCCAGGGAGGGTCTGCTGAGAAATGGAGCCCAGCTACTAGCCAGATCCACCATTTTGCCCACCCCTGGACTAAGGCATGCATACTTAAAGACAACTGCCACTCCCAGACACAAGCAGGAGACGACATTGTTGGGTTAGATACCCCTGGGCACTGTCTGCCTGCAATGGGAAAATCAAATTCACAATAAGAGACAACTGAGAGCAATGACCCTATAGCCAGAGGGGCTCCAGGCGTCTCAGGGAGAACTTTCTGGAGATTTTGATGGCTCAAGAGCAATTAAACCAGTCCCGAAGAGCAGGGGCTGGCCTTGAAGGCTAAAAAAGTTATGTGAAGTCTGGTTACGTTAAGATTGTCGTCTTTTGGATTCCAGGCTTTGGAGGTTCAGTGACCCCCATAGCCAAGGCTGGCAGAGTCAGCAGGAAAGCTGAATTCTAGAGACACTGGCAGGACTCTCAGGAGGGTTAAGGTGTAGCCAGATGACAAGGTAAGAAACTGTTCTTGTTTTGTTTTTCTGCCTCCAAACCTATAGTGATTTTTGCCTGTATAAATCTTGTTTCCTACATAACTACTCCTTTTGTATTTTGTCTCCTTAGTTATTGCCTATGGAAAGTGATAGCTGGGCAGGTGATACTCCAAGCTAGCCCTTCCTACAGAAAGGGGGACCTAAAATTTCTTTCATGACCCAACAAGGAATCCACCTGAGGCTGGCAGAGATTTACAGTCTGCAGCTGCAAGGTCTGGTATAATGGTAGTGAAGCGGAGGCTTGCTGGGGCAAGCAGCAAGCAACCTTGCTGTATTCCTTGGGGCAAATGGCAGCATAGTGGGAAGAAACTCAGGGCTCTGGGGATCCCTGCAGACAGGTTTGTGACAGACACATCCAAACAATTTATCATCCAATAACAAGCCACAAAAGTGGTGACGCAGCCTCAGAGCTGCCACTCGTTAAATGTAAAAGATCTTTGCATGAACCATGCTTTAACTGGAACATGTGGTATGTTACATATAGGGTCACAGTGCTTGGCCAAGTCCTCCAGTATCCCAGGGTGGACTGTTCTCTCCACCTCCCACTCCTTCTGAAAGGGGACTCTGTGACTCATGAGGATTTCGCCTCCTTAACCAGCCTCCACTAAAACAACTACATTGCTTTTGGTACCCGGACAAGTTCGAGTATCTCTATACGACACTGATTTGTGCTATGCAGACTTCCCTTACACTGTACCTTCTGCACAGCAAAGGCCTATGCATTTACATGTTTTTATGAGGCTTCTAGAATGGTTTGTTGGGTGTTTTTTTTCTCCTTTTTGGAGGGGTTGGCAGGTAAGAGGGGAAAAAAATAACAAGCAGTTATGCAGTTACAATGCAAGTCCATGGAACCAATCATTAATGGCATGCATTTTCTAATTCAAGATATTTTACTGCACAAGACCTTTGAAAGGCCTTGTTATACATTGCACTTTGAGCTGTTCAAATGCTGCTCAGTGTTAGTGGTAGCTTGAGTTTGGAGCAGTCGCACCTTACCACTAAAAGCCTTCCTGACTTACACACTTGTAACTTGCCATTAGAGGGCTAGCCTGACTAGAAGCTATAGCTGTGAGTTGCCACTACAGGGCTGATGAGCCAGGACCGGCTTCTAACCCTGCTCTCGAGGGCAGGGGGGAACTTGATGGGATCAGGGTGGGCAATTAAAATGGGAGGTGGAAAGGTAGGAAGGTTGGTGAAATGAAGGAAGTCAGCCACTGAAGGATAAAATAAAAAGAGTAAAAAAAGGGATTTAAAAAGAAATAAAGGGGAAGAAAATTAAAGGTCTCATGTTTTAATAAACTGTGATTTGGGATTGGGTGTGGGGGGTGCTGGGCATGCTTCCCAGGGTGGCTGGGAGTTGGAAGTGGTGCGGGAAGGTGCTTTTTTGGGAAGCTACTGCCCCTGCCTTGGGAAGGAAGCCTGAAGCTCATGGGGCCAGATTCAGCCACCTACCCTGTTCCCAACCCCCACAACCTACCTCCCTAGGCCACTCCTGAATCCATCTATTCCCTGGCTAGCTGCCATGTGATCTGCAGGCTATTTGCAAAGGGTTGCACCCCTTGGGGTAGGAAGGTCTCACGCCCGGGGGCAGAAGGGGGAGCTGGCTTGGTGCCAGAACCACCCTGGGCAATAGAGTTCAGTGGGTGTCTGTCCACACAGAACAGGAGTATAGGGAAGGGGACAATGAATGTGGCCACACATTCATGGAATGCAAACTGGGTAACATGGAACAGAGATAAACCTGCCCTGCAGTGGCATAAGCTTAAGCTGCCTAAAGTATGTATAAAACTAGGGGTCAAGAGCTCCCCAGAAGCCGCCCAAAATTAATGTGTAACAAGGCCCTGAGAATGTGAGCCTCCAACAGATACTAGTTAGACTTGTCCATCTGCATGAAGTTATGAGTAACGTGCCCATCATTCATGCAAGTTAACACTTTACTTAATAAGGATTTAATCAAATAAATGCTAAGTTATAGATAACAAATTTGAGTATTAAAAAAACATACTGGGGTATTTTTTTGGAGGGGGTGTTGTTTTATTACTTAAAATGTTTCAATAGTACACGCACCTGCAAACGAAGAAAATTTTTGTACGACTCTTGTTGTTTAAGCTGCTGTGCAGATGGTGGTTCACCAAAAACGTTACCTCGAGCAAAGGGAGAGGTTTGTGCAAATGAGAAACCTAGAAAAGGAAAAAGGCATTTTTCTCAAGCAAAATCAAAATTAGTTTCGAGACAAAAAGCTAAAACACAGAAATAGGAATGCGCAAGCATTTCTTTTGCATAGTGGCTTACAACAACCATTATCCAAAGTACTACCTTAAGAAAAAAAAACCTTTTCAGCTGTAGTACAAGTTTTGTTATTACATGTGTGGAATTTTTAATTTAAAACATCAAGGTTCTTTTTTCCAGCTCAACCACTTATGTTATGCTGAATATGATCTCCTTAAGTGCTCTCTGCAGCAAAAAAGAAAAGTGATTCTTCCTTTATGGCAGCTTTTAAATATGTGAAAAGTTCAGAGATGCAACTACCTGGGTTGGTGCTCTGGGCAGCATCAACAGCAGAGGCTAGGCCAAATGCAGCAGCAGCAGTGGCTGGGCTGGAACAGTGGTAACTGCCATTCTTGCACATCCCCCCCTCCAAGTGGGAGCTGAGGGACAGAGTTCTTGTTGTCCCCTCCTTCTTACGCTACTCGAAAATTGATATCATGTACCCCCCTCATATGTTCCACATGAAAATATATCCTCTGACATGAACTTGACCTCTGCATGGAATGCCAAATTGAAGTGGCATATATATCATTTATGTCCCACAAAAATGACACATATATAGGCACAATACAGGCGCTCTGCTCCAAGACGAATTTCTTCTTAGCTTTTCATTTCCTTGTTTGGCATTAAAAACAGCACCAGATAGGGTCATTCCAATTAAAAATCTATCATTATTAATCACCATATCAATGTTATCATATGACTTTGCAAAAAATCTATTTCAAGATAGTCATTTTTTCAAATCTCATACATGTGCAAAATCACCTTGGTTAATTGTTTCAAGGAACTAGTTCCATAAAACTATACTTGAGCTAGAGCTACTTAATTTTTTTTTTCCAGATGCCAAGAAATTGTACTTATAAAAGCCATACTGAAGCAACCTACACTGCTACATAGCTTTAGCAAAGGATCTTTAAATTAAAGAATTTGACAAACCCCTTAATGTGGACTGGAATCGATTTTTGGTCTATTATGCCATTTAACATGAATACTATATTATAAGAGTTTTACCTTATCACTAATTAAGTCAGCAAAAGCAAAATATTTAGACTGAGTTGGTACTCTAAACTCACGTTGATATGTCTAAGCAGTGAAAGGGCCTCTGCCAGCAGTGAGATGAATTTTCAGGCACTATGAAATAATATAAAGTCTAACTTGCCAATCAAGTTAACATTGTGTTCATCAAGTGGTGTCTCTCATTAAAAAGCTACCTCTCACAGGCAAAAAAAGCATTTTCTAAATAGTTTGTGCACAAATATTTTCCTCCACAATTACTCTGTTTACATTTAAAACGTTGATTAAAATACTTGCCTGTAATTGTGTTCTAATCTTCTCTTCATTCTGATATGAAATAGCTCTTTAAATCAGTATGTTTGTGATTTAATCTACCAGAAAGTGTGTGTGGGGGGGGGAGGGAGGCAGGAACAGACATACAGAAGTGATACCCATTGCAAAAGACTCAATTCCACACCTTTTCCATCAATCAAACAATTTCCCCAAACACACTCAAAGAAGTTGGGCACATAGTAATAAAAGGGGCACAGAACTTAGCAGGTCTCATCTAGTCCACTCCCCTGCTCAAGGTAGGATCGTTCTTATCTGGAGTATTTTATGAAAGTGCAATCTATTCTTTAAACAGCATGAACAGCCTTCTCATACAACTACTGGCACAATGCCCAAAATCCCAAAGACACCCCAAATTATCAACAGTAAGCAGGGGGACACTGCAACAACTGGAAGTAGTTTGTTAAAGAAATACATTCAAGAGATACAATAAAGAGAACTATGGCTTCACCCCTGCCACAGAAGAATGCAGAACCCCCACGGTCCATGCCAATCTGACTATGGGACAAAATTCCTTCCTAACCCCAGATGTGGTGATAGGTCTGATCCTCTAGCTAGGAGCCTATGGGCTTTTTAGTCCTAGCAGCAGCAGCAGTACACCTCAGTCAAAATTTCCAGCCAACATACAATGCTTCTGAGACAGGTCAAAAAAACCCTTAACACTTATAGTAGCAAGAACTGTTGTATACCCTAGATCCAGGTGGTTAGAGCACTTATCAGGGAGGTAGGAGACCAAAGGTTCAAGTTCTGATTCACAGAATAGATCAGAACATCAGCTTCCCTCACCCTCAATAAATACTCCAACTAGTGGGCTACTGACGATTTTAGGCTGCATAAGGTTCTCTTTCTAGTTTTAATCCCATCTTGAAGCCAATAACCCTTTTAAAAAAGAAGTTCTGTTAAAATGCGTACATTTCTGGTACTACGGGGTGTAGGTTGTAGCCGTGTTGGTCTAAGGACATAGGCAAACAAGGTTCTTTGGGTGAATCTGATATCTTTTATTAGACCAACTTAAATAGTTGGAAAACAATTATTAAGCAAGCTTTTAGGTGGGTTTTTGAACCCGAAAGCTTGCTTAATAATTGTTTTCCAACTATTTAAGTTGGATAATAAAAGATATCAGATTCACCCAAAGAACCTTGTCTACATTTCTGGTGCGTTTTCCAATTTTAAAAAGTTTCATCAGAAAATTCTCAATGAGCTATAGGGGGGAGGTAAAGAAGGTGAAGAACCCCATGAATAAGTTACTGATAGCTAAACCTACTTTTGCCATAATCTCTTTCATTAGCATATAACTTCAAAAGAAGCAGTTGTCTGTAATTTCAGAAACACAGCCCACATCTGTCTGAATGAAAAGTTACTAGAAAATGAGAAATCAGGCCTGCAAAGAAACAACTGAAAATTGTTTTAACATGGTGCTTACCAATATTTACTTTGCCCAGGCTCATTAGTCAACAAGAACTTCTATTTTTTCATCATCTTGGAGAAAATGCCCTTTAGTATTACTTTTTGAATGGATATCATTGACTCAACCTATTTGTCTTATTTTGTAACAAACTACTTTTACAAGTAATAACCATAATTATTATTAACAGAAGGGTTGATAGATTATTTACATTTTTACTTATGTTATGCATTTGGCAGAACTTTTTGCATAGTCAGTTTTCCAGTTAAATTTAAGGCAGTTCCTTCCTTCATTTATACAGATGTTTCATGCAACAAAAGGAACAAGAGAAAATAGGAAAATGTGATCATTAAAACCCTTCCAAGACTGGTAGGGAAAGAGTAACAGTTATTCCTGAAATTACTTTTAATTCTTAATTTTAAACTGCTTAGATTCCAACTTTGTAACTTTTAAACTTATTGTTAATAAAAGAGTAAGTGGTCAGCCATTTAATTCCAAAGCTGCTTCTATAGATGAACACTAGGGGTGTGTGAAGTGAGCCGTATTAGATTTGGATTCAGCCAAATTCGGGGGACAGTGATTTGATTCGCTGTTTTGGCCGAATCCAAATCTGAAGATTTGACACTGATTCAGAGAATCAGTGATTCGGCCATAGACACGGCTTTATGTTTTTTTCTACGTACCTTGAGGAACCAGGTGCAGCTCATGAACGCTGAGATGCTGGGGCAGATGGAGTGTCACACAGGAATGCGGAAGGGGCCCCCTGCATCCCCCCGGCTCGGCGATCAGCCATGGGGGGACCCTGAGTGCCTCCCAAGACCCAAGGGGGGGGGGGGGGGGGGCAAGGGTCCCCCGCACACTCCACGGTGGACCCAAAGTGGACTGGAAGTGCTTCTGGTCCACTTCCAAATCCAATGCCGAGCACACTGGGGACCACCCCTGTGCTCCTGTGGGACACTCCATCTGCCCCATCATCCCAGCATTCGCGAACTGGCTGATAACTTGAGGTATGCAGAAAAAACATATAAAGCTGTGTCTATGGCCGCATCATCAAATCTCCCTGAATCAAATCGGAGGCTTTCGATTCAATTCGGAGAGAATAATGGGTCTCCTGACTTGATTCGGATTCAGAGATTCAGCTGTTGAATCAGGCCAAATCTCCTCCGAACTGAATCAGTGACCAAAGCTTCGTGTGGCCCTAATGAGCACCCCATAACACCTCACTGCACTTCCTTTTTGCTTTTTTCCCCAGTTGCCTACAAGTAGGTGAATCCTGGTTATGAGTGGCCACATAAGGAATAAGGATCATAAAATTAGAATTGATTGTAAAACGTAAGAAACAATGTAATAAAGCAATATAACTGTTCATTAAAACTATGCTTGTTATGAAGGGGATGTAAATCAATTTCTCTCCATTGCAATGGTGGTAAGGAGAAGGAGAAGAAGGAAAAATCAGCTTAATTTGTAGCAAAAAAACTACACAGTCTACCTAGGGATTTCTGGGAATCTGCTTCTTTGGAAATGTCTAAGAACAGGTTAGAAAAACATCTATCAGTTGTGATCCTTGCATATTTAACATCACATTTGGGCAGAGGGCTAGACTAAATGATGTCCTATCACTTAAGTTTCACTCGAGCCCTATATTATTGTAATAATTCATCTTGTATTCAGCCCAAGTTTTCATATTTTCTATCCTCAATGCTATATTAACTTTTTTGTTGAATTTATGATAAGCTGCGTCCAGAGGTTTTTCTTCTCCTCCCTCCACCCAACTCCATCCATTATCTTTAGCCTATCAGTTTTTTTCATTGTACAATTCAGAATTAAATAAAAAATACACAGTGCTCTGAGTACTTTGCATGGTGCCTTGACAGTCAGAGCCCTGAACTTCAGTGGGGATTTTTGGTACTATCACAGTACTAACAGATATTAGTATAGGTGAAGTAAGAGAGATGAGTAAATACATGTTCTGTGCTTCCATTAGTAATATGATAAGAGGAACTTCAGAAAAGGGGTGTGACTGTACCTTAGACAGAGGGAATGGCTAGCCACATCATAAAGGAACCGAAAGAGAGAGATAAGAAAAACTTGAGAATTCTGACCATCAAAATCTTATAGTATTGAACAATGACCATATTCTTTAAAATCTGCTATTTTACCTGTAGATGTTTCTGCATTCTCAGGTCTTGAGGACGGCAAACCTAGGTCAAAAGAAACAATAGCCCTTTTATCTTCATATGGTCTTCCTTCTGGATTATGATATGCATCTTCATTTTGCTTGTGCATCATTTTCAAGTCAGCTAAAAAGACACGAGAAACAGCTGTTTATATTTTAGTCCTCTTAGGAAGATTACGTTTCCAAAACCAAGATATATTTCACCAGACCTATTTTCAAGACACACAATAGCTGCAAGAGCAAAAAATTAAGACAACAGTACATCAGCTCAAATGAGAAAAAGTGGTCTCTGTAGCAAAAGTTGAAGTCCTGCAAAAAGGAGTAAAGAGTTTGAGCATGGAAAGGCTGATGAGCTGCCATGCTTAATGCAAAGTAATGCCATGCAGCGATACCCCAAACCAGTTCCATGACTGAGGTAATTAGCCTTGTTCTCCTGGCAAATTACCCCAAATACAACAATGCACCAGTACATCCATACTACTTCAAGACCCAGAATGCACAGAGCTGGCTCAGGCTAACTCTGCATTGCATTGTCTTGCAGTGTATAAACAAACTCTGGTAAGAAAAATTATCAAACACTTTGAAAAATATATAATAGCAGCACTGCTAATTTTATTTCTGATAGGAATTGTGCCCACTGTACTGAATTAAGTATACATTAGTCTTCACACCCTTACTAATAATCTAGCTACAGTGCATACTCATGTGGTGTAAGCAAATGGTATGTGTGTCCAGTTCAGTGTTATAAACAGAAGTGAAACATGTCACCCAATATTTTAACAGATTTTTAACCCAAATTTGCATACAACATACCTATCATTACAAAGGTCAAGATTTTAAAGGCTTGAAAAAAAAGACCCGATCTTCACAAACTCCACCTAATCTTTGAAAACTGGCCCTATAAGGTATCTAAAGATGGGGTATATGAGAAATGAGGCAAACAGAATCCCAGGATGGTAAGAGACCTCAAGGATTATCTGATTTAACCTCCTGCATGCTTATCCAACCTCCCCTTGAAAACCTCCAATGAAAGAGATTCCACAACTCTGGGCAGTCTGGCCCAGTGTCTGACTTTTTTCTAAGAGTAAGGACTTTTTTCAGATATCTTATCTAAATAAAAGCAGCAGTCAATCCAGAAGCTAAGTCAGCTGCACTCCTTATGGAGATGGAGGAGGGGAGACTTGAACCTTGGTCTCCCCCCTCCCAGACACGCAGCCCAGCCACTAGGCCGGGGGAAGGCTAAGGAGATGTCAAGGCTTGAACCCTGGGGCTCACCTACATGAAAAACACGTACTCTACCACCGAGCTATGCCCCTGCCTTCAGCTCTCTAGTACCTTTTCTTGAAGTTTGCCATCACTGCTACAATTCAGACTAGAAGTCTAAAAGCAAGATTATGGTACAAAGTTCCAACAGCACCAGTTAATAAGAACTTTTAGTTAAATAGTGCAAAATGAATTAGTTTTTTTCTGGGCCAATCAAGGTTGATTTACATACATCACCATATTACCATATTTACTTGAATAGAAAGACAACCCTGATTGTAAGACAGGGGTGGGCAAAATGTGGCCCGCGGGCCAGATACAGCCTGCCAGGCCATTCTATCTGGCCTGCAGGATCACTAAAAAATTTAGAAAATTAACAGCTACCTGCCCCTGGCTGCCTGTCACGCGGCCCTTGATGGCTTGCCAAAACTCAGTAAGCCGCCCTCCGCCCAAAATAATTGTCTGCCCCTGTTATAAGACAACTCCCCCAATAATTAAATTTTATACGTGAAACATTTATAATTTTGTTGTAATTTTCCTGGTACAGACTTTAATTATTAGAGGTTTGACTTCAATTTGTCTCCTTTCCATTGCTACAGCAGGGAAAATAAACCTTGGGGGTCAGGTAGAGAACAGTGTGCTCTCTGCTTCCCCCACTTTTTCCCCCTGGCAGCCCCTTCTCCCTCTCCTTACTGTTACACCCTACTCCCTGGAAGCAAGCAGCACATGGAAGTAAGGAGCAAACTTTAACACAATGACTTTTAAATTAAGCATGGCTGTAGTAATTTGCATACAGTACGTATGCACTTAGTTTATCCTGAATTGATGCATGTTGTATTTGTTTTAAACTGCTGCAAGTTTTAGCACAGGTACTCCATAAACTCTTTTGAGCGGCACTTTGGCACCTACTTATATGCATGATATTGGTCCCAAAGCCAAAAGGCTCAAGATTACCTGAGTTCATTGAGCTAGGCCCCAGCAGAGTCAATAGTGCTTCAGGCCATGGTGATCCCACAGCTCAGCACTGCACCGCTCAGGGGGTGTGCGTGTGCTCATGTGTGTGATCCAGATATCCCCCCCAAAGGTTCCATGTGCTAATTAATGCTCTCCATTCATGACTGGAACCAGATGTTCTGGTCCAGCTTCACCTCATGGAGGGCAAGGCCACACTAATCATATGCACCAGGCTGACAGAGGGATTCTGGGTAAATAGTGTCACTCACCATGACTGGAAAAATTGTCAGTGGTAAAGGGGACTGTGGTCACTGGACACTATATGTCTTGTGCAGATGGGTTACACTAAACTAACCAGCCTCTGGTGCCACAGTCCTATGCTTGTCTGGCAAGGGCAACATTGTAACTACTGAGGCCTAGTCACACCTGGGGAAGATTGCTCTCTTAGCACAGGCATAGTACCTGCCAAGGTAATGTATAGTAAACCTCCCACTTGCCTGCTGGAGTGTTAAAGTCTTGGCTTTATGCCCACTTTATGGAAAGAAGAGACTCCTTCCTAGTTTGTTCCTGGGGCTTTATGGCTAAGGGCAAGCAAAACTTGGGGCATCTGAACCCCAAGTCTCCTGGCTTGGGCCTGCAAGTAGGATGCCAGCCAAAGGTTTTGAAAACATATGAAGCACCAGATGGGGTTGGAGGATGTTTGCCAGTAGTAGGGCCACTTATGGTTCTGGACTGACTCTTGGATTTGGAATCTGTTTTGGCTAATTTGTCTTGGAATATGAAAAATTTAAATTAAAAAAAAACCAAAAGCCCGCTTATGGTAGTTCCCATCAGCATGTTTACCCAATCTGTGTGTTGGCTGCATTTAATCAAATTCATGGTTGTTTCCATTGCTAAGCACCTGCTGCTTTTGGCACCACTTTAAAGACAGACAACATATTTAGTGAGATTTTGTTGTATGCAATAAAATGAGGGACTTTTCCCCCCCATGCCAGTTTGGCGGGGGGGGGGGGGAAGGGGGGGGGGGGAAATCTTGTCTTCTGTTTGAATAAATATGGTAAGAGCAAATTTTTTAAAGCAAATTATAAGGAAGGATGCTTAAATTAAAATTAAAATTTAGAATATTTAAGAAACTTCAACATAATCTCTAGTTATATATTCTTCACGAATCAATGACTTCATAATCCTTTCCACTGTAACATCTATTTTGAGACTACAATCTACTGTAAGAATGCCATTAATATGCAATGGAAAAGAAATATAGCTCAGTTAGAGTGAATATTAGGGACATGGTATAAGAGAGTCACTGAAAACTTTTAAATCTGAGTACTTCAACACACATATTCCCAAACCTTTAAATTATAACCCTTTTTCAAAAGCAGCCATTTACTGTACACATAGAACACAAACCCAAACAATGCACATTTCTAAATCTATTTTATAGACAACAAGTTTTGAAAATGTTAGTTTTAATTTCTAGAGAAACTAGTCTGATTCTGAATTCAGCAGCACTACAGTTTGATATCAAGTACTAAGTTTTGATTCAATGATGAGAATATACACTTTGAAAATTCCTGTATTTTTTGTTGTTGTAACATGAATTCAAATGCAAGAATTCAAGAGTTAGGATTACAACCAGAACCAAACAGCTGATATAGAGGACTGTACTCCGAAGAGGAAGCCACAGATTTCAACTTTATCCCAGAGCTGTTACTGACTTGCCATGTCACCTTGGATAAATCATTTCCCCTGCATCAGATACATCCCTTTTGTCCACATCCATCTTTTGCACAAAGTGTTCTGGGAATTAGTTAGCTAACAAGCACATGGCACTTCAAAGGCAAAAAGCAAAGAGCAAATAAATGCTGAATACTGATCTCAGTGCCTAGTTAATATTTGTATGGCTATCTGTCAGGGTGCTAACAGGAGTAAAACTCAAATATTATTCCATCTCGTTTGTAGATTCATTCAGTTTTGTTCCTAGTTAAAAGTCTCCCAAGTAGAAGATCCAAGCTAGAAGTGATATTACTTGAAAATGCCCCAAACAAATTGGTATTACAGATTCTTAGGCTACAAGTTTCTTGGGACACCAGCTATAATTTTCACTTACCTCCTAAGTGCTACATGTACCAACGGTGTGATACAAAAATAAAGTTTGGCCAAACAGAGCTCATAACAAAGAGGTGAGAATGGTACCTATCTCCCAAATAAAACCCACACCTTCAAACATACTTATCAGATTTCCTTTTGTATCTCTAAGAGGAGCACCACCACCACCTTTTCCCCAGGGATTGTAACTTCTCATTTCAGCTTCTAACTTTGCTTCATATTGTTGCTTTTCCTCTCTCTCTCGTCTGCGTCGTTCTTCTCTTTCTCTTATCTACAAGAGATACCACAGTCAGTCACACCAAAAAAGTTTTTAATAAAGATACAGTTGACATTAAAGAAACAGTCACAAAGCGAACAAAGTGCCATCATTTTCCACAGAAGTCAAAGTAAAAAAAATTCAGAGCCAACTCTTCAAACCACATATTCCATGTAGTTTTACTGACCACCTACCTCATAAGGTATACACACACATATAGATGATAAATAGATCACAAAAATACATTCAGACACGCTACAAAATTCAATTATAGGACATCCCACCATGTACCAGTGACAGATAAAAGGCTCAATATCCTCTGATCTTGTAATAACTGAAATCAATTTGCATCCCAGAAAGTTTTATCTCTAGCATTCTACAAGGACCTACCATGTCCTTCCAGCTTTAGAAAGTCTTAGTTTTTCACACCTTGATTTGAAAAAAAATAACCAAATATTATTTAAATCATTTTTTAAAGTTTTTCTGGACCTCTCTATACCTTGTAGAGTTGACTATTTAGGCAACAGATTTATAGATCATGGGAAAAAGTGTCACTAGGAAAAGGAAAATAATTTTGTAACATTCTATGGCATGAAAAATGCACAAAGCTGTTCGCTGATGATATTCTACACCAGGGGTGGGCAATTATTTCGGCTGGAGGGCCACTTAATGAGTTTTGGTGAACTGTCAAGGGCCACATTCATGTCCGTCTCCATTTCCCTTCCCTCTCTGTCTTTCTCTTCTTTTCTCTCTCTCTCCCTCTCCATAACTCAGCCAGAACTGTAGGTCACCAGAAGCTCTAAGGCTCAGCTGTGGACCCACAGAGTCTTCCACTGGGACAAGTAAGCTGCGGGTGCAGCCAGCAGGTTCCAGGGCCCCGATGCAGAACCTGCTGGCAATGCCACAGCTGATGCTGACCCCCACTCAGCACAGAAGCTCTTGCCTAGGTCCCAGGCTTCACAGCTGACGCTGCTGGCAGGTTCCAAGTCAGGGCTCTAGGTGGGAGCTTCCACTGCACCGGAAGGCCAGCAGCATCAGTTGTGGATGCTGCCAGCAGGTTCTGTCTCTGGGCTCCTGAACCAGCTAGCAGAGTCCACAGCTGATGCCGCCATCCACCCACTGCAGTGGAGCCGCCCAGGTCCACAGCTAATGCCACCGTGTCAAGGTCTGATGTCACCTGCCTGCCCAGCACCACATGGCAGCCGGAGCTGCCAGCCACCCATGGGCCAGATCCAATGAGTTGGCAACAAATCAAATCTGTTGGCAGGCTGGATCCAGGCTCCAGGCTGTATTTTGCCCACCCCTGCTCTACATCTACATAACTGTTTCAATAATATTATTACCTTTTTTCTCATTATTAAGAAGGATGAAAACTAGAAGTGTACCGAAATATTGGTTCCATATTGGATCAGCATCAACATAAGAAAAATTGACTGTATCGGCAATTGGCTTTTTTTGGCTGATGCGGCCAATAACACCACCGATAAATGCCTCATGCACGTGCACAGCCACAGCACTCAGACGGCCAAGAGCACAGCCCAGCAGCATGGAGGACAACAGAGTCCGGCTGGGAAGTCTGTTGTGAGGGAAGGGGCCTGGGGATGAAGGGCAGATCGAGGCCCCAGCAGTGAGGGAGGGAGTGGGGCTGGGGCTGGAGTGGGGCTGGGGTAGGGGCAGGCACTGCACAGCCAGGGCAGAGTGGGGGATGGAACCACGAATGGCTCATCTGGTGGGAGTGGGGGGACAGCTCCCACCGCTGCATCAGCCCAGGAGAGCATGGGAGGGCATGTGCCCCCAGATGTGGGCATGGGGTGAGGGCAGGTTGCCGTTGCAGGCTGGGACCAGGGCTGTGCTGAGCAATTTCCAGGTGGGACTCAGCTGAGCTGTGCTTGGGGCAGGTGGCAGTGGTGCTGGGAGGGGGAGTTGGGCAGGGCTACAGAGAATTTTGGGATGGCTGCAGCCTTCCCCATAGCCCCCTCCCAGTGCCACCGTCATCCACCCTGAGCACAACCCCATCCGAAACCCCCTGCCAGGAAGAGCTCAGTGATACCCCAGCCCCAGCTGACACTGACAGTCCACTCTTGCCCCATGTGTAGATCCAAAGACACACCCCCCCGTGCCACCTCTGGGGTGCATGCAACAGCGGAAGCTGACCCCCCAACACCCACTGGACAAGTCACTTGCAGCTCCATCCTGCACCCTGCCCTGGCTGTGCAGCACCTGCCCCTGCCCCAGCCCCACTCCCTCCCTCACCACGGGGGCCTCAATCTACTCCCCAATCCCACTCCTTCCCTCACAACAGACTTACCAGCCAGATGCCGCTCTTTATGCTGCCCGGCTGCATATCAGAATCAGATCCGTATTGGCCAATACGGCTCGTTAAAAATCAGCCATGGGTATCAGCTCAAAAATTCTCTATCGGTCCACCCCTAATAAAAACCCTATTCCTCTCTTCACTATATCTGAATAAAGGCAAGAATTTCTTAGGGTGGTATCTTTCATTGGGCCAACTATTTAGTTGGGATAAAGTTAGACAAACTTTTGAATGCAAGACATTCTTTATCAGGTCTCACTCTTACACTACCTACATTTGCCTAACCTTTTTGGAAAAGACATCAAGTTAAAACAAAGTCATACTTCTGTCTAAATTCTTTTTATTTTATTTTACATATGTATGCATATTATGTCTAAGATACCTGTAATAAAAAAATTAAAGAACTTTCTCTATTTTGCAGTTTATTCACTGTCTTTCTCTGATAGTATCATCTTCCCTGCTTCCTCTGTAGTCAGACAATCAGTTCGGGTGGGTTTTTCACACAAGAGAAAATATTTTTAAAGACAATGTAGTTTGTCAAACCACAGTTTCAAGCTACTTTTAAATTCTTTAGAAAAAAACAACTAACTAGGTAATAAGTTTCAGTATCCCTTTAATTACTGAAAATTTGTGAAGGACTTCTCTGCTATCCAATATTTCTCTGCCTCTCAGGAAGCAGTTTAACAGATCACTGCTTCCTGAAAAATCCTCCCACCATCCTACGTTAGACAGGTATTCACAGATAGCTTCACCTTCCTGATTTTCTTAACTCTATCTTCTATTTCTTTCACTACACCTTTCTTCTGCTCCTACACCTTTCTGCTCTCTCCACTCTCCCACTCCCATGCTCTCTCCTCCCCTCTCTGCTCAGTTCCTTTCTCTCTTAACTTTCCTTTCTGTCCTGTATATTATCATAACCATTCCAATCCTCTTTCCCTTTTCCCTTCTTTCACAGTTCCCTGCTTCATCAACATGGCATGCTGACAACATTCTAATTCTTTGACACAACAGCTACAGATCACAAATTATTTTTTAAATCACCAAGATCCATGCAGCAAACTTATAATTACAACATGCTCTCAGTGTAACTGTTATCCTCTTCCCTCCTCCCTCTCAAAGATCTTATCTATTCTCAGATGACAAGCTCTTCTAGGACGGTGTCTTTTTCATTTGTGTTCATGGTACCCAAGGTTCTTAATGAATAAATAAATGCCATCTGGCCACAACCTTCAACTCCCAGAAAAAGCTGCTTTTCTATACTGCTGTTTGTTGGTCTACAGTTTGCGAAGTGCTGCGGGATACAGTAGTAATGAAAAGAAGTAAATATTACTGTGATAGCTGTTGCCCTTGTACTGGAAAGTTTACAACAAGGTATTTAAGCACCATTATGGTCAAGAAAATAGCTATGTGGTAACTAACTCAGTGTTAATTCAGTTTTAACTGATTAATTTTAGTAGCAAAGTTTAACCAAAGGAAGAGAATGTTAAATTCTGGTCTGTTCTGTACGTTATCCACATAACTGTCAGTAGAGCTTCAACTTCAGGGTTCTGTTGGTGATAAAACCCTAACCAGAAAGAACACTTTTACTTATTAAAATACCTTTTACTTGTACCCTGACCAAATATGTTCCAACAAGAATTACACCCTGGAACAAACACAATTAAAAAAAATGTAAAGATTCAGACCCCATTAAGGATACTTAATACCTGCTGTTGCAATTCTTGTTGATAAGATAAAGATGATTCTTTTGAGGGTTTTGGCTTTTCTTCAGGAAATATTCCAAGACTTTTTGGTCTATCCCCTATGTTTCTCTGTCCACTGTTTCTTCTCAATTTAAAAAAAAACAAGTAAAAAAAAGAATATAATTTAAATCAAGGAAAAAGTATTTTTTGCCTGAAATGTATACAAGTGACACATAGTTTAATAGTTAGTAGGGTCAGAAGGGACCTGAGCAGATCATCAAGTCCAACCCCCTGCCATGGCAGGAAAGAGTACTAGGGTCAAACATGAGAAGTATCTTTTTTCACAGCCTGTCCATCTCTGTAAATAGTTACATCTATTTATGAATTCACCTACTCAACACAGCAGGGATTGCTTAATTATATTTTAGGCCAGGAACTTATAACCAGAAGTTTGGAAAATTTATTTTACTAAACCTCACTTCAAAGGTGCGTATCCATGAGTAAAACTACGATAAAACAATGTTAAATGAACAGCAATAGTACTTACACAGACTGATCTGCTGGTACCTGTCCTAAGGGAACTGCAAGATTAGGTGTAGGCTGCATTCCCATCATTCCTGTACCATCTAAAGAGTAAAGACAAGTCATTTAAATCTAGGATGCACATAATGACATACATTTACTGTTATCAGTGGAAGGGAGGCAATACAAGTCATTGCATTAACAAAGTTTCAGAGCTAAGTTAAGGCAAGCCTTAATTTTACAGCAGTGCCTTTCACCCCTTCCATACGGTCACCTGCACTTAATACTTGGAATGGTGAAAACAAAGAAAATACAGTATTGAGATACCCTCCTATCTTTAATCTGTGAATTCAAGTGTCCCATAGGGTTAGTAAGAGCTATTAACTATATCCTCTACATATATTCAGCTCTATAACACACAAATATGACCAATAACTGAATAAATGCATTATTTGTGTACATGCAGTCAACTGCTTTTCACTGTATTGGGGAACAGCTATACTGACTGCCACTAAGGAGTATGCAAAGCAATTTGCTACATCTCACATTACAATATGAGCAAAGATGCATCTGAACATAAAGGAACATGAACTGCTTGTTTTTGTGCTGAGCTACATGCTTTAGAGAAGTAGAAGTGCATAGTACTTTTTGCTATAGGGATCTGTAGCAATCTGGTAATATACAACTACCATACAGAGCAGAGAGAAGTGCAGGTTATTTTTCAGAAAAAATCCACAGGGCAAGGGAGTTTTACATATTACACCTCTATACAGATTACACATTCTATATATCCTTTTTTGCAGAGTAAAAAAAGAGTTCAAGTACAGGCTAGTAGTAGCCAGTTAGTGCTTGCAGCCTGCCCAAGACATAACTGCCCACACAGAAGCTAATGTCTCCTTTTGTATCCACACAATGCTGTGTTGTCTGAAGGAGAGAATATGATGTCTGCTGGGGCAGATAAGGCCATCATGCCAAGACAGCAAAATAAAGACTGGGGCATCACTCTAAAGACTGAATACATTCACTTTATTTTCTGGTTTTCAGAGATAGAAGATTTGGGAAGAGAGTGAGAGGCACTGCATTAAGTTGTTTGGACAGCAAATCTTCATTGTTTCTTGAATAACATTAGTTAGAAAGGCATGATTAGGAAATACAGGGAATAAAGTTTTCCTGGAAAAATCGTCACTGCTTTAGCTCTCAGGAAATACCTCTTCCAAGACCTGCTGTATCCCCAAAAGAGCTGAAGAGAACAATGAAGAGAAACAAGACCACAAACAGAAACAAAATCGGTACCCAGCGTGCGTTATGGAATAGAGTGTATGGAATGGAGATTCAGAATCCGTACTTCACTTTAGTGACTAATGTAGGTGCTCTGTACAGGCCACCCTAAACAGGCTAAGAATTCTTTCCTTGTTCATCAATAGCATAGCCTTTGATCAACCAGAACCTCTCATGGAGATTAATACAGCCTGACACTGAATTACAATATTCACCTCAATAGAGCATTTTCCCTCTTCTTCTCTCAAAACTTATATTTGTTTCTGTTGTGGCATACTAATTAAAGAAATGTACATCTTCCAAGGCCATATACAGGAAAGAATCTGATCAAATTACATCTAATTTACAACACTGTTTATTTATCTCAACCCATTTATAGCTCACATCACAAGACATTTTTTCTATGTGTATAGCTTTTCTGTTTTAAAAGTATCTTAAAACATACTAACTATTGATAATAAGGCCTTACTATAATGCAAAACATTATAATAAACTTTCTTCTTAAGCAGAAGCATATGTAACATAGTTGTATTTAGTTATTAAAAGCAAATGTTAAAAAACATTAGTTTTCTGTATTTTAATTTAAATTTGAATTTTGATTCAAAAGGAATGACAAATCACAAGAAAAATATTATTTATCTAATAAATCAGAAGTGTCCCTCACCATTTTCTAACATAATAAAATATACAAATTAAGAATCAATATAAATGTATATTAAACTAGGTATCTCCTGAAATATGTTACCTTTGCTGGCAAAAAGTTGGCGTAAATCTACACTGACTTGCAAATTGTCTTAATGATTGCAAACCAGATTCCTAACCTTTCCTTAGGAAAATAACTAAAAAGTAGAAATGTACAAAAGTAGAAAAGGTTTAAAAAAGTATTTTAAACAAGTTTTCTTACTTGTTGATTTAATTAATGACTCAAATCACTTTGACTTAAAATAATCCATTTTGAGGAGTCAACTTACAATATGCAAGATTGGGATCCAAAGGATTCCTAGCCCCATAGAAATAGTATGCATCATCGTAAGGTGTTCTGTAATTGTCAGTCAAAATTGGTGGTGGAGGTGGAGGTAGAGGTGCAATCCTATATCAAAAGGAAGGTACAAGATTTTGGGGGGAGATAAAGAGAAATTATAGCACAAATTAAAAAAAAACGAAGACTAAAGCAAAATGAAAAAAAAAAATCAAAGCATGAAAAAATTCTAGAATGAGCTCAGTTATGACTTCTCTCTGAGATCCTAATTGTGCCTTGTAGACAGGCACGTGCCACAGTAAAAGATAGGGAGCAGATGATCTGCCTGTAGTGAGGACACGTTATTTTGACTTAAGCAAAGCCTCCCAGAATGCTCATATGCACAGAGCCTAAGCATCTGTTTCTACTTTTATTTCTTGCTAATTTAATAACAGAGAATTGAAAATATTTGCTTTCATGCTAAGATGTTTATTGGGAGAAGGATAAAAGTGCCACCATGGTTTACTTTTTAGATATTACTTATGCGTGTAACTGCACACATCTATTAACACCTCCTGAGCAAATCTGGGCACACTACTGAGAGAGAAATTCCATCTATGCCCCCCCCTGCTCTTCCTCAGCCATGCAAATTAGCAGAGTAGAGACCTTGTAATGACACCAAATTCTCTATCTGCAACTACCTAGCCCAGGGCTGCCCAACTAAAGAAGTGGCCCTGTAAGACACACCAGCAGGAGCTATACACGATTTAAGTTGCACTAAGATGAGCCAAAGGCCCCCAAGATGCAGGCCACAGAGATGCCCCCTCAGCACCCAGCTGTACCACATGCCCACCACAAACTAACCCCAGCCCTGTCCTACCCTACTTATCTAAGTAATTGTACGCAAGTACCTGGGAGCTACTATTTCACCAAGAGCACTGGATATTCCCCTGTGAAAGTCCTCATTCACTGGTGAAACAGGAGGTGCAGGAAGGGGTGTCTGGAAAGCCGATTTGGGCCTTTCAGGTGGTACCTTTTCTTCAGAGGCTCTTGCTGTCAAACCATATTGCTTCAGTCTATCAGGCTAAAGATAAAAATGTGGTTAGTCACTTCCATTTGATATTCCGAATCTCAAAGGAATTTAGTGCTAAACTATTTTGGGTTTCCCATTATATTTCTAGTAGTAGCCTACAATTTCTTAGTACAACTGTCAAAAGTACACCTTATGCTTGTGCAAACTGATAGTTTCACTAAAATCAAGCTCTTGTGGGTTCCAGGAAAGAAATTATGACAGTGACCAGAAAACAAAAATCTTTTCATGACCATCTCCAGCACTAGTATCTCAAGCTGCCAGTTTTCTATATCAACGGCCTTCCCATTCTATCATATTTAGGTAAATTCACAAAAGGAAGAACATTAGCTCTGTAACTGTCTAAGATCTGCAAAAGAAATAAGTGTTGAGACTTATACCAATAAACATTTCAGAACAGTGGCATTTTTTAAAAGGAATGCAAGATGTCCCTCCCATATGTTTTTTTTTTTGATTTTTCCATCTACCAAAGTTACACCAAGTTTTTATTTTTTAAAGGCAACATCTATGTAGATTAAATGGTTTTTTAAAAATGTTTATTAATAATTAGTAGCCTCAAGATAAAAAATGACAAGAACATGCAAATAATGCAAAGCATGCAAGCAGATTAGTTTAAAAACTGTCCTAGTAGACCCCCAAAAGTTTTGCCTATTAATTGATTTGCACATTAGAAACATCTTGTATTGTTTAAAAAAGGAACCATGTGAATAGAAAGTAAAAGTTTATTCATTAATTTCAAAAGAGAAATAGATGTATTTTATAATCTTGTTGTTCCTTAAGACCATAGTTCTTCAATAAACATGCATTCTAGGACTAAATACCAGCAGCTGTTGAATACTATATATCCAATTGGGAATCATATACCAAATTGGGTATAATATTTTAGATATTCACAGCAATATGTTAAATGTTTACCTCCTCTTCATTTAGCTGCAAGACAGTATATACAATGAAGTTAGTACACATTTACTTATGAAAAGAACTTTAAAAAAAAAAAAAAATCAGGAAGAAAGAATGGTATTAAATTGTTAAAACTGTTTTAGAAATAAAACACTTGAATTTATATTATTTAGTTTTAAAATGATCAGAGTTATAATCAGAATTATTATGTTACCAGATTCCACACATACATGTATACTTGTACATTGTGTGTGTGTGTGTGTGTGTGTGCACACACACACACACACACACACACGAGGTTTCTTGTTTTTAGTTTTTTCATTTTTGGTCCCTTGAGCACTGGAATTTTTAAAGGAGTTTTTCATAAAAAAAACTGTTTGGTTTTTACTTGTTCCCAGGTTGGGCTCAAGGCATTATCACAGTTGCCAGTTAAGTAAACAATCCTTATTTTATTCAAAAGTTAGGCTATAGCACGGCAAGCCTGATACCCTTAGTAACTGTTTACTTTAAAAACAAGCAGTCTATTAAAATCAGGGCTGTCCATATAGCCACTTGCAGACCACACACAGCTCACAAAGGGTTATGCTGTGGACCCAGGGCTTCTGCCCAGCCACAATTCCCCCGATCAGTCTAGCTACAACAGAGTCTAAGGTCTCTAGGCTTCCCCTGCCTCCTCCAGTTGTCACTTCCTTCCACTGCCCCCAGGGATGGGGCAATATGGCAAGCGGTGTACAGAGATGAGAGTGAGTACAGGGCTCTGAGTTGGAGGGTGGAAGGAGAGAGGGAAAATGGAGCCAAGCATGGGGAATTGCACCCACATGGTGCAATGGTGGAGGTAGGTGACCTGTATGCCAGTGGTGCAAGGGTGGGGCAAAGGAGACAACATAAGGGTGTACTGAGGTGGGGGATTGAGGGAGTGTCCCTGGGGCCTGCAGCTTGACTGGTGCAGGCAATGTTGTATGCAGCCCCCACTAGGGAGGCCCCTGGGGGCAGGGTTTAAATTACACTTGAACTCTTGGGGGGTGGGGGGTCTGCAAAAAAAATTTGATTAACATGTCCACTTAAGTGAAGTAGCAATCTGATTGGAGACCCCCCAGGTTATGATTTTCAAATCTTACATTGGGGCTTTCATCCCTTATGGGGAGGCTCAGCCTCCACCCACCCGCCCAGCTCCCCCTTAATTTGCACCCTGCTCAGAGGAACAGAAGTTGGACAGAACTCTATTGAGCCATTATCAACACTTAATTATGCACTCTCCTCTTAACCAGCATGCATTCACTTGCAAAATTCACCTAGCTGGAACATCTCCTTAAAAAATAATTTCAACTTAAGCAACATTTAAAGGCACAGACTGCTGCTTAATGAGGAATGTAATTCTACTTAATTGTGATGCCTTGTTAAATTAATTATTTTAAATCATGCCGAGCTCACACTGGTTCTATCAGTTTGCTGTTAGAAGCAGCACCATCCAATCCCTCTCAGATATACACAATGAATATGGAAGGCTTCACTACTACATGCTCTTTGCTGCTAACCACCTGCTGCCACAGCAACTGGGCTGCTTCATGACAAAGTATCTTATGGCTGTTCCTTGTATTTTGAAGTAGTAATGGTGTCTGTCCTCATCCTAGTTCTGATGGCTCCTTCTACAGTATCCATGGAAGGAGTTAGCTGCAGTGCTCTCCAGAAAACAGCTTAATGTATTGTAAAGTCTGTGTTAATTACATTTGTCTAATAAAAACAAAGAACCATCCACCACGATTTCCAGAGTAAAAAGGATTCTATGGCATCCAGTAAGCCAGGTGTTCTTAAACTGTGGGTCGCAACCCCCCAGAAGGTTGCGAGCAACTTAAAAGGGGGCACAAACTTCCCAGGGCGTATACAAAGCAGCGCAGGGACTTGGTGCATGGCGGCGACACAGAGTGGTGGATGGCAGAAGCAGCTGCCATCGCATGTGAGCTCCTCATCCCCCGCTGCCACCATCCAACACTTGGGACCACAGTATCACAAAGTTTGAGAACCCCTAAGTCAGGGCCATCCTTAAGGCGTGCAAATTGTGGCAACTGCTCTGGGCCCTGCACTTTGGGGGGCCCTGCAAAGCCAGGTGGAGTGGCTGTGGCAACTCTGTGCTGCTGCCAGCTGCCCTGACTTCTGCCTAACAATGTGATAGTCAGGATAGTTATATCCTGCTAATTCAACAGAAAATGGTGCTTTTACTTAAGAGTAAAAGCAAAATGTTAAGTCATTACATGCTGAATTATACAAAATTTGGTATGCTCACATAGGGCATCTGTATATGTGCTCTGGGATGCAGCACTAAGCACTTTAATTAGCAAGTTGCGCTAATTAAAAAACACCCGGGCCTCACATATATCAACCATTGAATCGTAGAACTGGATAGGACCTGTAAGATCATCAAGTCTGGTCCCCTGCCATGGGCAGGAAGTTACTGGGGTCAGACAAGCTCAACGAGGTGCCTGTCCAGCCTCCTCTTGACCACCTCCAAGGATGGCAACTGTACTACCCTGTCCCTGCACTGAAAAATAATGGCGGTGGAGTTTTGAACTAAAGCTCATCAAACATGTTTTATTTCAACCATTTCTTCAGCACAGAGATGCTGATATACATGTGATGCGGAAGGCTACCAGAGCATGTCAATTTCTGTGCTCCAGCAGGCTTGATTAATTGAGTCTGCTCCAACATGTTAGATTCCCAGTGCATCAAAGCAAGCTCCACGCACATCTACAGGAGCCCATAATTCTGAAATGACATATTTACTAATAAAAGTAACTAAAAAACTTGAAATAATCAGTTGGCACCATTACAATGACTTAGATGCATAATAATTAGATAAAAAAGAGCAAGGTGCAGCTTAGACCTGTTTATTTTGATTATCACTAATGCCCAGTTAAGAAAGCCTTAACTGTTTTCTTTCTATGTGGTGTATATATGTCATAAAAGCCTTTTTAGATTACCAAATAAGTTAATGCAACTTATGTCAGTGGCTCTCAATCTTTTTGAATTTAAGGCATGCTCCATAACTTGTATGAATTGAGCAGCACCCAATTTCAAAACAAATTTATATATTGCAATGCTTACCTCTTACAGAGGGGCCTAGCAGTGGGACCAGGGGATTGGCCAGGCAGGAACAAGTTTGAGCCTACACTTATCTGCTTATCTCCTTATACCTCGCGTATCTCCTCTCAAAAGAAGAGGCACCCTCATTGAGAATTACTGCCTTATGTAGTAAAAGATCCATTTGAATTAAAAGTAGAATACCAATATGCCTTACCTGCTTCCCTGGGTCTAGAGCTCCAGTAGCAGCAACTAAGAGCTCCAGCTCTTTTTCACTGTTAAAAAAAAGAAAATAAAAATAAAAATGTTGCAGCAAGAAAATGAGCTGGGGGTAGGGGGTAGGATGGGCCTCAGAACTGCACGGGGTGAAGAGGTACTGCTGTATATTAAAAAAAAGTGAGGGGCAAGGAAACCAGCATAGATGATACAGATGCAAAGATGCAAAAAGGTAGCCGTGGCAGTACTGAGAAAAAGCTGAGAGTGGTTTTCAGCTGGCTAAGTGTCTTTCCTTGCAGCTCCCAAACTGTCTTTTGTTCAATTCCTTCTATATTCAAAGAAAAGGGATTTTATACATTCTTGGTAAATAAACAAAACTGCACCCTCAGCATCTCCCAGCAAGAATAGGGCTTCAAAGTCTGGGTACAGGCTGACATAACTATAACAATATCACAGAATACCTATAGAGGAGGATACAATGCAACTGTACCAATACAAACATATGGTTCTGGAGGGATACAAGTGTAGCAAATCTGTTCCTACTTCATTAGGGATCAAAGTCAAGACACTCTAGTTAATTTGCTTCCCTACAAGATCAGGCAGATGTAACAGTTACAGCACAGCAGCAGATGCCTACTCCCAAGCAGCATACTTTCCTTTCCCTTTTAAAACAACTAAGATGCAAGTCTGTCTATATAAACTTGACTAATAACTTGGGCCAGAATGGATTTTTAAAAAGCAGTTTAATAGCGTTTTCAGCATAATTTTTCCCTGTGCTTTTTGGGAGTATTTTTTCCCCAGCACAGAAGTTTGATATGGAAAACAATTATAAACATATTCAAATTAAAACCGGCACTCAAAAGAACTGTGTCAGCCACTGCATGACAGCTTCATGTCTTAGGTCATGTTGTTGGATTCTTAATTTGCTAATACCTCCCATTTCTGGGCTTTTGATTTTATTTTAAATCCCCTTCCAGGATTTTACGGACAAGGACATACAACACAGTCACTTCAGAGTATTCTCGATTTATTCCAAAGGAAAAGCAACTTGGGCACCCAACATTAGTGTTTACCCCACAGGTAGTGCTACATTGGAGTATTAAGTTACTTCCAAAGAAATCAGTCTTGAGGAAATTCGGTCCAGAAAAGATACTTTGTGTGTCATGTTTCCACTACCATGGTCAATTTAATTCCATGGTAGCAATTTGCTCAACGCAAACTGGCTCTCCTTCCATCTAGTGATCAGATGCTGTAACAAAGGCCACTTCAAGCAGCCAGCTTGGAAAAGCTGATCATGTGTCCCTTTGCCTTATTGTGGAACAAAATTCAGAGTAAATTTAAGATGATTAATCTGTTATAATTTTTTATGTACAGAATCTAATTAGTGGTGGATCCTCTTAAATTCATCCTGCCCACTGCTGTGGCAGGGAAAGCAGCAGCAGGTGATGAGGGCCCAGACCCCGTCACTTGCTTCTCTGCCTCTTGTCCCACTGTGTGCTTGACCTCTGTCATGTATCCCCATAACACATGCCCTCTTGCTGCCTGTCCCTCCAAGCCTGTGCCTGCCCCCAACTCCTTGCCTCTCTCACCCCATCCCCCCTACAGCCTACTCCTCCACCCCTTGTCCCCTGGAGCCTGCCCTCCCACCCCGCTCCTCCTTGCAGCCTTACCTTCTGCTGCAGCTCTGCTCCTCCTGGTCAATCAGCAGCAGTGGTGGCCCTGACCTGGCCTCAGCCCAGCCCAGCCCAGCCCAGCCAGGGAGAAGTGGTAGCAGATCCTGGCCAAGCAGGATAGGGGCTGGAGGGACTGAAGGTGGAGCAAAAGATAAAAGTAAAGGGAGGAGGAGGAGGCAAACAGGCACCGGTACAGGGGGCAAGGGGGGGAGGGCCAGGTGGCAGGTTCCCCCCCAATGTCTCCTCCACCTGCCCTCCACCACATGCCCCTTTCCCACCAAATAAGTAATTCCTGCCAGGTACAGATGGCGGCTCAGCTCTGGCGTCAGCCCCTAGCCTGGGGCCAATGCTGGAGATAAGCTCCTGCCTGCCCCTGGTTGGTACTCCAAGACTAGGCTTCCCCATCCCATGCTGATTGGGGGAAAACCTCATCTTGGATCACTGGTAATGCATAGGGGGTACATGCAGGTGCACATGCACCCCTCCCCCCACAAGATCAGCCGTGCACCCCCTGGAAACCCAGCCCCGAAACTGGAAGCACCAGCAGAAGTGCAGTTCTGGTTTCGCTGCTGGGTCAGCGACTGGCCGCTAGGGCATCCCTCCTCCTCAGCGACCTAGAGCCCCCCAAGATTCAGCAGGCACCAGTCGCCCATGTCTTGGATTCAGGTAGATACAGTAATATAATTCCACAATGTCTGAGTGGAAAAAGTTTGCATACATTCAAAAGCCTTTATAAAATCCACTTTTGCCTTTACTTTTAGCCTTCATTGGATCAAATTACAAATTACCGTCTCTTATTTCTTTGTTGCTCAGCCATCTGTTCCATGAGCTCCTGTCTGTACATTTCTTTCCTTCTTTGTATAAGTTCCTTGTCCTGACCACCTAATAGAGGGGGAAGTTAGCATGAACTTTCTGTGAAAGTTACGTACACATTTTACTCTTCTAACACTTTCAAATTTCATCTGAACAGGAAAAAAAAGCACAGCAGAATATGGAAACCTGCATTTTGGAGCTTGTTTAAAAACTGTGCAACTTCATAGTTACTGATTAAAAAAAAAAAAAATCAGGTTTTTTTTTTATTTTGTTTTTCTACCCCTGAAATGCTGAAATCTGATCTTCTTATTTGTCTCTTGAAAACAGTCAGGTATTCTATTTCAGTTATTTAAAATCAACTCTATACTTGGTGTAGCATTTGGAGGTGGAATGGGGGGGGGGGGGAAATCAGGTAAAAACTATATGAAAAAATTAAAGTAAATAATCCTCTAGGCATTCCCAAGAGCACCAACAGGTACAGTCACATGCAATTATGTTTTGAATTAAAACCAGAACTGAAAGCAAGAGATGGAAACTATAAGAATTAAGGTAATTTTAATACTTAGAGATAGTTTCCATAGTACTGCACCTTACCAGTACTTTGTACGATTAAAACATTTGAACTTTTGGCCGTTTCCACTTGATCTTATTCTGGAACTTAAAGCTAATAAAAAAAGTAGTGTGTTTATAAATACACTAGAAACCTTCCTATACAATGGTTCAATGTCCCCTCAGCACTTTTTCCCCCCATCATTCTACAGGAGGTATTGCTCTTCAATGAAGTAAAGCAACCAAACATAAAATAGAGAAGTCTGGAATGCCAATGAAAGAGCCATTTGGAAGTTGATTGTGATGCAAAAAAAATTCAAATAATTTTATACTCCAATGGTGAAAGAGGCAAAAATAGTTAAGGCACTGAACCAAGATTTTTTTTTTAACCCAGACTCAGTTCTCAGGTCTGACAACAGATTTTAAGCACAACATTATGCTATTTATTAGGGGTGTACAAAACAGGCCATATTTGATTTGGATTCAGATTCAGCCCAAATCAGGGACAGTGATTTGACTCAATTTGGCTGAATCCAAATCTGAAGATTTGACGCGGATTTGGAGAATCAGTGATTTGGCGATAGACGCAGCTTTTAATGTTTTTTCTACATACCTCAAGGTACCAGGCACAGCTCTTGAACGCTGCGATGCTGGGGTGGATGGTGAGTCCCACAGGAGCGTGGAGGGGGGTCCCCCACATGCTTGGCACGTGTGGGGGATGTCCTTGTGTCCCCCCTGGCTCAGTGATTGACCGCAGGGGGACCCTGGTTGCCCCCCCAGACCCAGGAGGCACCAGTCGCCAAGCCAGGGGTTGCAGGGGGGGCTCCCTCCCCACACGCTGCCCAGCAGACCTGGAAGTGGACCGGAAGTGCTTCTGGTCCACTTTCGGGTCTGCTGGCAAGCGCGCTGGGAAGCCCACCCCGTGCTCCTGTGGGACACTCCATCCGCCCCACCACTAAGGCATTCATGAGCCGTTTGGTACCCTGAGGTACATAGAAAATACATTTAAAGCTGTACCTATGTCCGAATTGTCGAATCTTTCCAAATCGATTCAGAGGGTTCCAATTCAATTCAGAGAGATTAAATTTGGAGATTCAATTTAATTTGGAGATTCGGCCACCAAATCAGGCCATATCTCTGCTGAATCAAATCAGGGACCAAAGCTTTGCACAGCCCTATTTATTGAACGATTCTATGCCTCTGATCCCTATCTGTCAAGTGGAGCTAACAATGCCTCCCTACCTACCTTTAAGGGATGCTTTGAAGGTTTCTGTTTGTGGAATACTAAGTTATTATGGCAACAGACTCATAATTTAGACTATCCGAATAAGGTAGCAACAGTCAAGTGTTATATTGCTCTACTACAGGAAACAGATTAATCAGAGGCTATTCACAGATTAGACCTGATCAAGAATTTGCTATTCTAGCACTTTCAGTCTAACATGTACCTCAAGAAATGCTTTTTTTTTTTTAAATAATAATCACTAGTCAAGGTGCAAAGCTGAACCTACCAAAGTCTTACATACAAGTCCTGAAAAAATTATTATGGTGGTTAACAGCTTATTTCTGCTCTCCAACATATACAATTTTCATTTAAAGATTTAATTCATTAGATATCTAAATTGTTCAAAAAAATATAAGTTATTCTGACAACTGTCTTCCACTTTTTCCACGGTTTTAATCCTAATTTAATTAAATGTACTGAATATTCCAATATTTTAGTTACCCAAATTTAACTTAAAAAATGTGATTTTCTAAATTCTGTGAAACATCTCCACTATTTTCATTCATTTATCTGAGAAATCTGGGAATCGGTTTGGGTGTCTGCTACCATAAACATCCCAAAGTTACCATTCTGCATACTGGAAAGGAACCACAAATACCTCATGTCACTGAGGAAAAGTAATTGGACTTTGTTGTCTTTTCCTTTTCCTTTTCTCTTTTTAACTTACTGGATGTTTGCCAGCACACAAATATGTTGCAAGGAAAATCCAAGTAACATCAATTATTCCATAAGAAGCACATAATATTAAGCTTCAACAGATATTATTTTTATAATAAATACCGCAATTCAGACTAATCATTAGCTGGGTTTTTGTACATACCGAGAATGAGTCCTGTTGCATATGGAATGCCATCCTTACCTATGCCTGATTTTGCCTGTTCACTGGTTGGAGAATTGTCGTCTGCCTGATTTCTGGGCAAAAAAAAATGAAAAGAGATCAGATTTTAAAGTCTTTGCTTAAAAACAGTCCAAAGCATAAAATATTTAAATTACTTTTATGTTAACCGTTTATGAGAGGAGCTCTTATGAAATCATAGCTGCAGAGAACTTCTATGTCTGAGAAACAACTCAGTAACAAGTGTTTTCTCACAAAGCTTCCATGACAACATCTGTAGGTACCACACTCACGATACTATCAGTGTGTAAGTGGGGCAGACTGAAAAGGGCACAAGAATGGCAGCCACCGTCTGGGGTACAGAACTTCCTAGTTATGCCTCTGAGCATTGATTCAGCAAAGCACTTCAAGTTATGCATGGTTGTAAAACATTCTTTGGGGTAGGGTGGAAAGAGGAGGGAGGGTTTAACTGCATTCATGCATCTCAGATCTGAATTGTCCCTAGAACTTAGAAGAAAAAAAAATTGGGAAAAATAGGTAAACACTTTTTCCACAAAAAATCCTCTTTTCTTCTGATCACTGTGTTTCTGTCTAAATCGGTTGGAGTGTATGTATGTGATCTTTTGCTATTACAAAGGAAAAAAATGGGAATGCCTGTTAGATCTCTCTCTCCTGAAAGCCATTTTTTATAATCATGAGATGGATCTCTTACTCTACCTTGGTATGACCTTTAAAAAAAAAAAAAAAAAAAATATCAAACATTACTTACACTTACCTGAAAACTTCTTATACTAGTAAGAAGACCCACAGATCTTTTACAATGGGTATTCAGACTATTTGTAGCTCAAGAAAGAGTCAGATTTGTCAGCTACTGGCAGGAAGGAAATGGCTGAGCAACTAAAGACAGTATTTGGAACAAAGTCATTTAAAACCCCTTATACAGTTCTTCCATAATAAGCACATGTTAAAAATGTTCGGAAAATCTCCTGTCCAACACCATCTGGCTGGTTCTCTGCCTGGAAATTGGAGGTCTAAAATCACTGATCTCCTAAGACAGTGGTTGATCTCAAAGCCTCTTGGAGTCAATCTGAGGCTGGAGTGGGAGGCTATGCATGCATGTGCCCTACCCCCAGCCCAGCAGGTCAGTCTGTGGGAGAAGGAAGGGGCCAGATCAAGCCCCCACGGTAAGGGACAGAGTGCCACAGAGGTAGAAGCAAGCTGAGTAGGGCCCCAGCCAGGGGGCGATAAAAGGATCGAGCACGGGCAGCTCATCCAGGGGCACAGGGGAGGGCTCCTGCCACTGTGCGTACCCTGGCGGAGGCCCCAGGGGGGACATGTCCCCACATCTGTGTGCTGTGTAGGCAGCTGCCATTGTGGGCTGGGCTTTGCAACTCAAACCCCACTGCAGCCCACCTGGGAGCAGCCCAATGCCACCTGCATCCAGCCGCTGGGCAGGCAGGGGACAAGGCTCAGCCCAGGTTGTAAATCCCAGGTCACAATGGAGCTGCACAGATGGGGAGGGAATGCGTCCCCCCAAACGCTGGGCAGTGTGGACAGCTGCAGCAGCTGAGGGAGGGAGTGGGACTGGAGCAGGGGCAAGCCCTGCAAAACCAGGACATGGGATGAAGCCACAAGCGGCTCATGTAAAGGGCACAGGGTGGAGGCGGGGGCATGTGCCCCTGGATCTGAATGCTGGCCAGGTCGGCTAATGCTGTGGGATGGAACCATGGCTGTACTTGGGCTGGGCAGAAGCGGCACAAAAAGTGGGGCTACACGGCGGGGCTGCAGGCAACCAAAAATTCGCCATAGCCACACCATAGTGCCCCTTCCCAGCAATGCCACTGCCACCCAGCCCAAGCGTAATATGCCCTAGCTCTCCACCATGAAGACCACAGTGCTGCCTTCCAGCCCCAGCCCACCCTCTCCCCCACACAGATCCCAGGGGGAAGGGGAAGGCAGCGCTGCACTCTTCACAGCGGTGGTCTGGGCCATGCTGCGCTCAGGCTGGGCAGCGGCACTGGAAGGGAGGGGGTGGGGGTGGGGGGAGTACAGCGAATTTTTGGGTGCCTGCAGCCCCCCCCCAGAGTCCCTCTCCCAGCACCACCACTGCCCCACCCAAGCGCAGCCCCAGTCCGCAGCGGCAGCTGGCTTGGCCAGCGTGCAGGTCCGAGAGCACATAGCTGCCATGCCATCCTGGGGGGGGGGTGCCCTCCCCACCTCGCACCCCCACCCAGAGGAGCCACTCACA